TCTCATGGCCTCTCCGGACTTCCGTACATGGCTACATGCCACTGTTGGTCATGCAGAAGCCACGGAAGGCGTTTTTGGTTTTAACAGCTTCATGTAAACACAGCTTTAGCCTGCACCACTGTTTCATCTGGTGTTGGGAACTTAGCTGAGCTGTGCTAGTTAGGCCACCTACCAAGATAGCGAGTGGCAGCGCTTGACTGTTAAAGTAAACAGAGTTTAATACTATGAAAAAAAACTTTTGCCCTATATGCCCTCCTAGTGCTGTAAAAGGTAGGTATTATAGTAACTAACATTAGCCAGGTGGATGTGAGGTCACCAATTGTGTGTTGAGTTTAACATTTCGAGATGGTTGTGCACTGATTATAAGATTATCTAGCTTATTTCTAGACATAGTTTAAAGTCATTTTATCAAGTAAGATTATCTCACTATACTGGCAGATAATTTTGCTGATTCCAAGCACATTTAAAACAAGCAAAATCATCAAAAAATGTCTAGTAAAAAATTATTTATTGACTATATTTAAGATAACAAGTCACCATTTTTGCAGTGTGCACACTTGGTCAGGAACTTTCACTATAATAAATGCAGCATGAAGCTTCTTTTATACAGTGATACAGAAATGGGATAGCATAACAAAAGCTCTAGGTCCACATACTGATCCATTACTGTGACCAACATGGACATGCATGCACACCAACTACTGTATGGGGCAGATTTTAATGAGTTATAGGGAACAAGACAGGGTCCCTGAATGGATCACTGGTGAGATGTTAGGGGTAAAACTGTGAGAATGGATCATTGGGTAATTGCCGATAGACATTACACAGCTGAATCAGACAACTGAGATAAACAATTATATATTTAGCCTAATGACTCTGGTTATTGTATAGCTGTGCATGTCTTCCTCTACAAACACACACACTGTGACATGCTCAGTAACACAGTAGCACAGACACACATACCTGAGCATATACACAAGGTAGTTTGTGCTGTACTGATGGCAGCTCTTCCAGTGTCTGAAACGGCCTAAATGTGTGTGTGTGTGTGTGAGTGAGTAATTCCCCAGCTGGTCTTCTCCCCCGTGGTCTTCCCGGATCCAAGATCCAGAGAGGGGAACCACACACGTACACACACACACACACACACATTGAACCGCATTCACATTGGCTCTTTTTTCAGCCTCCTGTCTCATTTTTCTGGGCTGTTAGTTTCTGTTTGTTGTAGAACAATAAAGAATGAGTGATTGCGTATGGGAGAGAGAGAGAGAGAGAGAGAGAGAGAGAGGGGGGAGGGAGGGAGGTGAAGGGGTGTGTTTGTTGGAAGCCTTTGATGGCAGAGCGGTGGAGTTGAGGAATTTAGACTAGTGTTAGTCAGACGAGAGAGAGAGAGAGAAAGAGAGAGACGGGACAGTGAGTTTAGTATAATTTAGTGCATGGTTCTTGTGGTCATCTTTTCCGTCTTTTTTCTTATGTCCTTTTCCTTCAGTTCTACCTCCCTCTCTTTCTTTTGCTCATTCACTCTTTTACTCTCTCTTCCTCTCTGTTCCTTCACAGTGAGGTCAAAGAGTTCTGTAGACAGTGAACCAATCAATGCTGAACTGTTTCAGCTGTTACCATAGTGACTTCTGACCACAGCTGTTACTATAGTGACCCCACACTACTGTGGTTACTATAGTGACCCCACACCACTGTGTTTACCATTCACTACTCTCTTTACCATAGAGACCTTTCACTACTGTCCTTACCATGGTGACCCCTCACTACTGCTGTTACTATAGTGACCTCTCACTGCTGCTGTTCCTGTAGTAACCCCAAACTACTGCTGTTACTATAGTGACCCCACACTACTGCTGTTACTATAGTGACCCCACATTACTGTGGTTACTATTGTGACCCTATGCTTCTGTAGTTACTATAGTGACTCTACACTCCTGTGGTTGCTATAGTGACTCTACACTCTTGTGGTTACTATAGTGAGCCCACACTACTGTGGTAACTGTAGTGACCTTTACCTACTGCCTACTGCCATTAGTTTAGTTACCCTCACTACAGTAGTACAGTGACCGCTCACTACTCTCTTTAAAATAGATACCTCTCACTGCTATCCTTACCATAGTGACCCCTCATTACTGCCATTACCTTACTAACCTCTTACTACTGCTGTTACCATAGTGACTCCCTCACTATTGCCATTAATACTGTGACCCATCAGTACTGCCATTACCTTACTGACCTCTCACTACTGTCATTACCATAGTCACTGCTGGCCACACACTAAGACCATTACTACAGAGAATCCTCTCTCCTGCTGTTACTACGGCTAAGGTCTGCTCCTCTGTACTGCCAGCTCCATAGTGATCCCTTGCTACTGCTGTTATCACTGACGCCTCACTGCTGTTGTTACAGTACTGTGACCCCTCACTACTGCCTTACCGTAGTGACCACTCACTTGTGCAATTTCTGTCATGACACGTCACTTCTACTATTATTATAGATACCTCTCACTACTGGTGCTACTATAGTGACTTCTCACTACTGCTGTTACTGTAGTGACCTCACCCAAAGGAGTGATTTCTGAGTAAGTCTCAGATGTGACTGATGGAGAAGCTAATATATGAGCTGTTTAACCAGACAGAAACTGTGAAGAAGGTTAGTGTCGTATTTCCATAGTGAACAGTCAGTGTGTGTGTGTGTGTGTGTGTGTGTGTGTGTGAAACTGCGCTCAGTGGCCTTGGTGTGTCAGAGGACGCTGAGAATAACACTGATAACATTACCAGCATTCTCTTTCCCCAGCACTCTTTGTCTCCTTCCCACTCTGTCTCTTTCCCTCTCTTTCTCTCTCTCTCTCTCTCTCTTTCTCTCTCTCTCTCTCTCTCTCTCTCTCTCTCTCTCTCTCTCATAAACACCAGTATGAGGGACACACAGGAAGAAGGGCTAGGCAGGTGTTAGGAGTCCAAATGGAGCACAGTGCGTCTTTGTGTGTTCAGGAATGTGCATGTTGCACATGTTGGGGTCATTCTGTAGCCCTTAAGCTCTGGCCCGTTGCCCTTCTTCCTGTACGGGGCTGTGTGACTGGGGTCAGAGCAAACACACGTGAGAAATCCTGTAACGAGATTAAACTCACTGTCAAACCTGAGCCTAAAACAGACTTTACTAGAAGGGGATTAATCCTCATGTGTGTGTAAGTACAGCTGTACCTACTGTACAACACTGTGCAGTCCTGACATATCTTCTGAGAAACTGAAGTAAGCCTGTCGCAGGTGGTGACACGCTTTTTGTGGTTACTATAGTGACCCCACACTACTGTGGTTACTATAGTGACCTTTACCTACTGCCATTAGTTTAGAAACCCTCAGTACAGTAGTACAGTGACAACTCACTACTCTTTTTACCATAGTGACCCCCTCACTACTGCCATTACCATAGCAATCTCTCACTACTGCCATTACCATAGCGACCTCTCACTACTGCTATTACCATAGGAATCTCTCACTACTGCCATTACCATAGCGACCTCTCACTACTGCCATTACCATAGCGACCTCTCACTACTGCTGTTACCATTGTGAACCCACACTACTGATATTGCCATAGTGACCCCCTCACAACTTGCATTGTTACCATAGCGACCTCTCACTACTGCCATTACCATAGCGACCTCTCACTACTGCTGTTACCATTGTGTTCCCTCACTACTGCTATTGCCATAGTGACCCCCTCACTACTGCCATTACCATAGTGACCTCTCACTACTGCCATTACCATAGCGACCCCTCATTACTGCCATTACCATATAGATAGATAGATAAATAGATAGATAGATAGACAGATAGATAGATACTACTGCCATTGTTACCATAGTGACCTCTCACTACTGCCATTACTATAGTGACCCCTCATTACTGCCATTACCATATAGATAGATAGATAGATAGATAGATAGATAGATAGATAGAGAGACAGAGAGAGTGAGAGAGAGGCAGTCTTTCTGATACAGGAGTGTCTGATTAATGAAGGAAGACAGAAAAGAAAACAACACTAAAAGGAGTGAGGATGGGGGGATGGAGGTGTAACCGGGCTGGTCCAGTCTAAGTGGTGAGGGAACACTGTGGGCTCTCAAGAGCTGAAAACACTAGTAAATACTTACAGCGTGTTTCATTTAGCGCTGCCTGTTTGTGCCAGCTTAAACTCAACTGCCCTGCTTACCAACATCAGAGCCTCACTCACTCACTCATACTCTCTCTCTCTCTTTTCATCTAGCTCACTCTCTCCTTTTCTCTCCCTCTCTCCCTCTCTGTTGTGTTTTTGCCACCCTACCTCTGGCTTTTCACTGACTTTGTAACGTATTAATTTGACTTCTGTATTTAATTTCTCAGGGAGTAAATAACAAAAATGTTATGAAATTTGAAGTGTAAAGAGTATTTGGTAGAAAACAAGGAACTGTATAGACGTAGAATAAATAAAATAAAACAAAGTAAACAAAGTAAACATGAATGTTTCAGTGGCTAGCTTATGGTCACTCATTGTGTACCTTGTTAGGGTTTACTCTTGTTTGTTACCTTTAATTTTCACATTTTGGTTAACATGAATTTCAGTTAACATGGATTTAATTTCATTTTTGCAGTAGAGGATGTAACTTGTCTTGTCTTCAGTTTCTTTCAGTGTAGAGAAGTGAGTTAAGTTACTTTCTACGTTTTTCTTGCTGTCCAGATGGTGCAGTGGGTTGTTTGGGTGTAGTTAGTAGCTTTTGAAGGCATTGTGGTGAAGGTAGTCTGGCTCTGGTTGGCCGAGGTGCCACTAGCATCCACATCTCTCCTCATTTTCTCATAAAATAAGCATTCAGAAATGATCAAACCTACATTTTCTCTCTCCTGAAAGACCGAACAAACTACAGCCTTGTATATATTTCAAAAATGTCTGTTGTTTTTATTTTGAATAATCATTATCTCACTCATTATCTCTCTCTCTCTCTCTCTCTCTCTCCCTCTCTCTCTCTGTAGAATGCCACTCAGGAGATAGGTGAGGAGGTGGAGGATGGAGCTGTGTTCACCATCACGCTGCGGAAGGTGCAGATGCACCACTCGGCCACTAAAGGTCAGCGGTGGCTCGGTGTGGACTCAGAATCCGCCCTCAGCCTTTACGAGACGTGTAAGGTCCGCACCATTAAAGCAGGAACGCTGGAGAGGCTGGTGGAGTACATGGTGTCCGCCTTCAGAGGAAATGACTCCACATACGTCACCATCTTCCTCTGCACGTACCGCTCATTCGCCACTACCAAACAAGTGCTGGACCTGCTGCTCAACAGGTACATCAACTTATCTACATGATCATTTATGAACATTGCACTGCAAAAAATATATCTCAGCCATAGCTGCGTTGCAAAGCCTGGGCTGCAGCCGAGGTAGTGCGGGTCCTCTGTAGGACTGTCCTATGAAGACTCCTCCTTAGTAGCCTATCGGTCACACAAATGGAACAGTCCTAACGAGGCTGTGTGGTGACGTCACCAGAGTGGCGAGAAACTCCTGAGGGAACTGGTGAGAGAAAGTGGAGCCTTCTGCATTGAGTTTGTTGCTTTTTCATTTCTTCACAGAAATGGAGGAGATGCTCTTATGTAGTACGATAAATTACATATATACAAATATTTCTAAATAAAATACGATATATAGGTGAATTCTTTAATTAATCAATCATTTTACTCTTTATAAGGTAACAAAGATGAATTCAAGTACATGAACAACTTCCTTCACTTTGGAACGGCCTGTTATGACGTAGCAGCCGAGAAATGCACTTTAGAACGCACCTAATATTTCACATTAATATTTCACATTAATATTTCACATGATTATTCAACCTGTTTCTAGTTATTTTTTACCTGCTTCAAGCAACTGTGTACTAGCATTCAAAAGGATAATAATAATGTATACATTGTGGAGTTCCTTTTATACAGCAGTTGTAAACTGAATAAAAAAGTAAAGGAAAGAATATCATTCTGTTATTATTCCCCGAATATTATATCAAACTTGCTTTAATCTTGGCATTTCTGGTAAAGTTGGTTTTGTGTTGGACATTTGCTGGATTTTCGACTTTCCTCTCCTTATTTTTTTCATAAAACAAACGTTCCGAAATTATCAAACCTACGTTTTCTCTCTCCTGACAGACCGAGAACGAACTACAGCCTCATATATATTCCAAAATGTCTGTTGTTAAAATTTCACTGAACGTAATATTTCAGAAATCACCAGCGCTTTAGTCATTAACCCTCTGGGATCCACGAACACGCCTGCGTGTCAAATTCAGTGTTTCTATATATGTTTGTACATGTTTATGCTGTAGTTCTAACTGGCGGATGCTCTGTTGTTTCAGGTATGCTAAACTGCAGCACCTGCCGGGTTCAGAGGGCCACCGGCTGACCCACGATGACCGCACGGAGCTCAGGAAGTGAGTACCTGTGGCTAGACAGATGACTGATGTGATTGGCTTTGCCCTCCCTGGTACAATATGACTTTACAAGTGGCTTTGGAAAACATTTACTGTTTTGATAGCTTAAAAACAGCAACACTTAGGGCCAACCCCATTTCACCCCTCACCCCTACGCTTAGCCCTACTCTTCAGTTTTGCGCATTCACATCTAGGGGTTGAGTGTCCCAATTTTGTGGAGATAGAGGGGTAGGGTGAAGTGTTAAAGCTTTATGGCCCCCTTAACAGTGGTTTGTCAGTCACACTCCAAACAGAGTGATATGAGAAAAAAAGAAAAGTCGGCAAGATGCACAAGCAACCAAACAAATCTCCTTTGCGTTTTGCACAGAGAACTGTGGGTAACCGAAGGCCTGGAAGAAAAACCCACAAATCATTTTACTGTGACCAACATGGACGTGTACACTCCGCAACTACTCTAGGTCCAGATTTTAATGAGTTAAAAAAACTGCGCAGATTTTTCAACACTTTACATAATTAAATCGTTGAGATGTAAACAGGGTCATTCCGAGTGGTCTGATGTCAAAATGGTTCACTGTGGAGAAACTTGCTGAATTGTATTTCTTTACAGTGGTGGTGATGGGAACCAGGGATTGTGATGTCGACAACACAAATATAGCCATTTTATTTACTATGCAAAACCACCAGTGAACCTGCACGTCTTCTGAGTTTTTGTATGTAATGCTGATAAAGGTAAAATAGTAATAAACCCAAAAAATATGTTTAGTTTGTGGACTATTTTTCCGTACAACACTCTACACATACCTTTACGCCTTAAATGTAAAAAGTTATAGACGAAAATCTAATAACAAAACTGCTATAAAACAATGTCTCGGGCATCAGGTGGCAAATCGGTAAACACTGAATGATGTAACTTTATATGAGGGGGGTTTTAGGGGCAGTCATTGCTTCAGACGTTTCCTTTGATCACCGCTGTGAACTTGTTAAATTACTGTAGAACGACTCATTTCCTATCAAACCGAAGTCTGAACGACTTTGTTTACATCATTACGATTAAATTACTTGACATAAAAACACTGGAATTCCCCATTAAAGGGGGCAAAGACAAAGGCTCTGGATGCATTGTCTGTGAGATGTTAGGTGAGATACGGTTAAAAACCCACCAGAGCTCTATTCTGAGCGCCATGAGTGAGGTGGAAAGCCCCAAATCAAATTGTTTATTGCAGTTCAAGTTCAAATGAGTGGTTTAATGTTGGCTGACATGACAAGGTGCTGTAGTACAAACTCAGACTTGGGTCTGCCATTTTCTGGGGCAGTGAAGTGAAAACGTGAGACACAATAACAAATCAGTTATGTGGTCACATTCCACTCACTTTACTAGGTGTTCAGGGCACTACAGTAGTCAAATATCTCGCTACTTGATTTTAGCTCTTCTTTTTGCAGGGGAAATGGATACGGTGCTAGTGTACATGCTAAATATGTAAAAAAAATAAATAGGTTACCCTTTATTAATCTTACAATGGGGAAATTCACCTCTGCATTTAAATCATACATGCACTGAAACACCCACATACACGCTAGTGAACTTACACACAAGGGGGCAGTGAGCACACTAGCCTGGAGCAGTGGGCAGCCCTATCCACAGCACCCAGGGAGCAGTTGGGGGTGAGGTGCCTTACTCAAGGGCACTTCGGTCACGTGCTGTCGGCGCAGGGAATCAAACCGGCGACCTTCCGGTCACAAGACTGGTACCTTAACCTCCAGCCTATGACGGCCTCCTACATTTGGTCTGGTCCAGGTGCCCCTCCCACGCAGGCACACCTACAGAGAAGCCCCACCCAAAGTGGGCTGGACTTAAGGTACGCCAGTAGAGAGCCTACCTAAATTTTCAAATCTGAAAATCTGGGCAGCCCAAACCCCAACATATCGGGAAGAGAGCGGGACAAACTGAGCAGGGCCCTAAAAAATATTAGCAAACTGTTTACAAAGTGATTCTTCTAAAAATAGTGACCAATCTACACTGTGTCTAAAAGTATCTCGACATCTCTTAGTGAATTTAGCTAATTTAGAGTGCACCCTTTGCTGACTCAGGCATTCTAACAGCTTGTCTGATCTCCATTGAAAAGCAATTACACTAAGGTTACCAAGCCCAGTGCCAAGTGTTGGCTAGAGGGGTCTGAAGCCCGCCAGCGTTGGGCTGTGGAGCAGTGGAACTGTGTTCTCTGGAGTGGTGGAGCTCCATCCAGTACCTTTGGGATGAGTTGGAGTGATCCAGAACTGGATATCACATCGATTAAGCCTAGACCTCACTAATGTTCTTGTGGCTGAATGCAATCGAATCCTCACAGCAGTGTTCCCACATCTAGTGTAAAGCCTTCCCAGAAGAGTAGAGGCTGTTGCTGCAGCAAAGGAGTATAAACTCTGTATTAATACCCTTCATTTCAGAAGAAATCTTGGATAAGCAGCGTCTACAAACCTTTGGACAAATAGGGTTGGTTTCCCAGACCGGGATTAAGCCTAGTCCTGTACTAAATTTTCCTTTCAATGCAGAATCTCCTTTTAGGTTGCTGCATAGTCCAGGACTAGGCTTAATCCCTGTCTTTGTCTTGAGCTTAGATAAGCAGTCATTACTCACTGCTGCTCTCTAAAAAGCACCCATTTGAAGTTACAACGTTCATTATTTTCATAAAGTGTCTTTTTCTAATGTGACTTGAATACTAAATCATCATAAATGCATACTGTGCAAAAGTCTCAGGCATCTAAGCACTTATTTTAAACCATTCATCACAGCATGAGTGTGTTTTGTCTTGTAAAAACAACATATATGATTAGAATAAATTCACATACATCATGAATACAGTGAAATATAAACTTCTTGTTCTTGTGAACTAAAGTTTGGTTCCACGTCTCATCGATGCCCCCAGCCTTGACATGGGATTTCTTCAGTCTAGTCACCAGCACATTTGACTACATTTTCATAATGGATCATTTTACTGAATTGATTCAAAGTCAGACGTTTAAGACATATTTTGGAGTTTTAACTGACTTGGACTTCAGATTAAATGCTTTTGCTTTGCATGACCCGATGTCTTAATTGTGTTTATTTTATTATGTCTTTGTTAATCATGACTATTTTATTCAAATAAATGATTGAACTTTCCATTTTGTCACTATCAAAACAGTCATAATACTACTGAAGCTTTACCAAATGTTTCGGTAGTGACAATTTTGGTTAATTCTGAGCAGAACTCAAAAACACTAGCCATTGCTTGACTGGCAAACACCGCTTTGAACAGTTATACACACATAAAATCACAATATTTTTCATTAAAATGCAAAAAAAAATATTACTTAATTGCGAAAAACATGTGTTTCAGCAGTGACGACTCTTAATGTTCCGCACTAATTTTCAGACTTTGGGACACATTTACTTCAAAACAATGGGATCTAACAGCTTACCATGAGGTCATGGCCGTGAGGGACAGGGATCCAGTCTCACTTCCTGCACTAAAACTGTGTTTTCAGTAGTGACAGTATTTTTTTTATTTAAAAATTAAACTCATGATAAATCCAAATATTTTCAACTCGCTTTAAAAGAAAAAAAAATAAAATAAATAAAAGAATAAAGGACAAAATAAAGCACCCTATATATGATTATTTTGCATAAATTTTGCTTTTTACCATCTCTGTCTCCATTACTATCTCTCTATGAATACCTTGAGTGTAAATACATCATAACATAATCCCTGTAAATATCTAAAGTCTAAATACTTCATTGTTTTTTAATAGTTTTTGCTGTGGGATTGCAGTTTTGAACTAATTTGGTAGAATGATTCATATATAAACTGTACTTATTGTGTTAATATTATTTATATTTAGTCTAATGTTGGTCTATTTCAGAGCAAATAAAAGTCTAGATAAACTTTTGCACAGTACAGTGTGTTTTTGAGGAATCACACCTGTTTCCCCTCTCTCCTCCACACAGCTTCAGTTTCCTCCTCTTCCCCTCTGTGTGTGTTTACTCTTAATGCTTGTGGGTCAGTGTGTGTTTTGTGTGTGGCTGTTTCTAATTTCGCTGTCTTTGCCCCATATCTTCTAAGCATTTGTGTGACCCATTTCCTGTGGGGGGGAACCGAGAAGAGTTCTATTTCTTTCTTTCCTTCCATTCTGTCTATTTTTAGGCCAAGACTTTCTGTCTTTCCCTCCTCCTTTGGTTTAATTCTTTTTTTCCATTCAGCCCATTCCTCCCAGGCTTTTTGGCTCTTCTGCATTTGCTGTATTATGTTGCATCAGCTCAACCTGTTTTCTTTAATACACCACCCACTCTTTGCATTCACACATACACACACCATCATTCGGCTCTTTCTCTGTACTTATTTCTGTACTTGGTTTCTGGGTTCATGAATGGGTAATCAAATACTTGGGTGTTTCTTACATTGCATCATGGGAAGTCAAGGTGAAAATATAAAGGCGACCAAAATGCCAGTGAAATGCCAACTTAAAGGGGAATTCCACTGTTTTATTTAATATTTTTGCATGAGAGTAAACAAAGTCATTCGGAGTGGTTTGGTGTGAAATGGTTCACTGTTGAGCAACTTACAGGCTCTGGTTTATTTACAGTGGTGGTGATAGGAACCAGGAGTCACAATGTCTACAACACAAACATAGACATTTTATTTACTATCTAAAACCACCAAATAATGTGGATGATGGTAAAATAGTGATAAATCTGAAAAAAGGGATTAAAAAAAGGGACTATTTCACCTCACAGTGCCTTGCACAGTGCATAAAGCCCTTCACCATGAATGGATTTTTAAAAAATAGGTTTTAGTCAAAAATCTTATCTCAGAACTGTCATAAAACAATGTCTCAGACACCATTCACTGTTAGAAAGAAAGGCTCTGTGCAGGTACATTTTTCGTTCATCAAGATACAAACAATGTAAATGTTCCCTCAAAGGTACAACAGTGGTTTTAAGGTCCAGTTGTGAACCTTAAATTAGTTTTCCCCAGATGAAAAGTATGTATTTGTACCTTTTCATAATCTAATGTTTAAAATCACAACAATAAAATAAAAAGTCTGGCGACGAGACGGGGTGTGTGGAGTACAACTTAGAAAATATACTGTCTATGGATTATGGTTCAGTTATGTTCCCTGACTAAAGGTACTGAGATGAACCCTACAGGGTCCCACCCCAGTGACAAGAGGTGCAGTGCCTCAGTGACAGTTTAGTACCTTTTTTCTGAGAGTGATTAAACACTTTCTTTAGAATGAAGCATTTCCCAAAAAACGCTCTGAATGACTTTTTACATGATGTGTACAATGTTTACATTTTAAGCATTTACTTCAGCAGCAATTTTGAAAATTCTGTGGAATTCCCCTTAATGTTTATATAGTAATTTAATAGCCTTTTTAGCTTTTTGCTACCATCTTGGGGAGCAGTAATGGGCTGCAGGTTAGGGAACCACCCTTGTGACCGGAAGGTCGCCGGGTTTGATCCCCTCAACCAACAGTACGTCACTGAAGTGCCCTTGAGCAAAGCACCTAACCCCAACTGCTCTGTGGATAGGGCTGCTCACCACTCTGGGCAAGTGTGCTCACTGCCCCCTAGTGTGTGTGTTTCACTGCACGGATGGGTTAAATGCGGAGGTGAAACTAATATGGGTCACTTATTACATATAAAGTCTAATTGCAATGAGGAAAATGCAGTGCTGACATCAGCCAAGGTCTTTTTTTTCCCCTGCAGTCAATCAAACATTCATTTTTTAAAGTGGTAGTTCACCCAAAAACTAATTTATTCTATTTTCCTCTCACTCCAAATGTAGTCGATCAGCCAAGAACTGTCATGTCAATACATGTCAAGAAAACACACAAGCAGGTCTTTTTTAGACTACTAAGCAACTCAACCCAGTTTGAGGCAAGTGTGTAATTTACACAGCGCTAATTGGTGGGGTACAAGCTTCCGATACTTGCTGGCTACATTGGCCTTGTAGGTCTAGGGCAAAACTGAAGAAGTACATTTCAGACACCTACATATCAAATGATTCAGTATGTACATCCCTGTTGGCTTCCATTCACCTCGTCTCCTCTTGCTCTTCTCAGCACCATATCCTCCATCCTGGGGGCGTGGTTGGACCAGTATTCAGAGGATTTCTGGAAGCCTCCGGAGTACAGCTGCCTGAGACGCCTTATTTCATACCTGCACGTTAACTTTCCCGGGTCGGACCTGGAGCGGCGAGCCTGTAACCTGCTGGCTCAGTTCCACCGCAGACTGCAGCAGGAGCCTGAACCTGAGGGTGAGTCAGGAACCGACGCCCACACATTACATCTCATTTACCCCCCTATACGATGTGTGGCTTCATGCAGCAAAATCCTTAGTGTTGAATTACCACCTCCAATTCAACATTGTAAGAGTTCATTTCAAGCGATTGCTAACATATTTCACTGGTTGCTTTTTTGCTGTTAGCTAGATACTAGGTATCGGTATCGAGCCACTACCTGAAAAAATGCTGGATTGAATATCAGAGTGAAAAAAAGAATGAATGTGATGTGTGATGTGATATCAGCTGTGTCGTTTGAGTAGTTTGAGAATAATAGTCTGTTTTTAGATGCTCATCTTAAGTGTAAGTGCTTCAAGCAAGATTAGCTATTTTTAATGCTTAGCTAAGGGGAAATATAGTGTCTGTATCCGTATCGGATGATACTTACGGTTTTAATATCGGTGTCAGAAAACAAAACGTGGAATTATTGAATTTACTATTGATTGTGTTTCCTCTGTTGGATTCGAGTTGAGCAGAACTACGTTGAAAGAAGCTGATGCCAGGTTTATCCTCATACCAGTCGTGTTTAGATTTTTTTATCAGCTGCTCTTTGCCACAATCTCACCCATTTAGCTGAGTCTAACTGGTGACCAGCATACAAGCTAACTGGCTACCTTATTAGAATTTTACAATTTACAATTTTTATTTTACAATTTACTCCTTTTTCCTTCATTTCTTCCTTTTGTTATGCTTTGCAAATTAGGTTAGTAAATAAATGTTGAGTAATATCACAAATACAGCAGGTTATACAGCTGTAACTACTGTGGCAGCTACAACATTCTCAACAAAATCATTACGTATCAGGCCTAATTATTAATTTTTTGTCTCTCACTTGTTTGTAATAGTTTTAGTTTTTTTACAAAATAGAAGACTATGTCCATTAAGGAGATTAAAAACTAGTTAAAGCAGGACAATAATCTGCGACCTTATCAAGCTGACAAACCGATAAATGCTAGCTAAGTGATAGTTCAGCCAAAAATTAAATTTACCCCTAACCCAAATGTGGTCGATCAGCCAAGCTATGTTGTATCTTCAGAATTTCTTTCTTTAGCTTTGCAATGAGGCTACAAGGCTAATGTAGCTAACAAGTAATCAGAGCTTATTTGCACCGTTTAGCATCAGGCAAACTTCATGCCTAAATCATCACACACTCAAACCATCATTGTACATTTCAGTTTTGACTGAACCTTTTTTTAAATCTACTGTTTAAGAATCAAGTCACATCTCGTTAACATCATTGAGATATTTTAATATTTGCAATTTAGGTGTCAGCCCATTTAGCACTGGGGATTTTGCAGTGCATGTACACTGGAAACAACACTGCTTTGGATTCGCTTGGTTCAAAAGTGTGCATTTATTCCACACAAAAATATTATATCAGCACATTTATTGCTTGTTTACTTTTGGCAGTAGTTGTGCTGATGTAATATTTTATAACACTGTACACATTTGAATCACGTACTTCTTTTTCAGTGTAGGCTGCATATTTATTTAGGTATGAAATGCTGAATCTGATCCTGGGTCTGTACTGTTTTACTGAGAGGTTTGTGTGTTGTGTGTGCAGTCCTGGACCACGGGGCCTGCACCTTCTCTCTTCTGGAAGAGAACGGCTATGACGACGATCGGCCGGACTTCCTGAGCTTTGACCCTACAGTGGTGGCGGAGCAGTTCACTTTGATGGACGCAGTGAGTGATTGTACATTAACAGACACAGAGACACTATAGTAACAAACACAGAGAGGTCATGGTTAAGTGATGGCAGCAGAAACAGAGACGCTATAGTAACAGACACAGAGAAACTGTAGTGATGCACACAGAGAGACAGTGGTAACGCTATGGTAACAGATACAGGAATGCTGTGGTAACAGATGAAAGGCCATGGTTACACTACAGTATTTTAACCCATTGTACACTACACAACAAACACAGAGACACTACAGTGAGAGACAGAGAGATGCTACAGTGAAATGCACAGAGATTCTATGGTAACAGACAGAGATAGGATGGTAACAGGCACAGGGACACTGTAGTGATGGCCGCAGGGACGCTATGGTAACAGATGCAAGGACACTGCAGTGATGGGCACAGGGACGCTATGGTAACAGACACAGGTTTGATATGGTGACAGACAGAGATGCTGGGGTGACAGAGACAAAGACGCTACAGTAACAGGCACAGAAATGCTATAAAAACAGGCACAGAAACCCTGTAGAACCAGGCACAGAGATGTTATGGTAACAGGCACAGAGATGCCACGGTAACAGGCACAGAGACGCTATAGAAACAGGCACAGAGATGCTATAGAAACAAGCACAGGCACACTAGAGTAACAGGCACAGAGATGCTATAGAAACAGGCACAGAGATGCTATAGAAACAAGCACAGGCACACTAGGGTAACAGGCACAGAGATGCCACGGTAACAGGCACAGAGACGCTATAGAAACAGGCACAGGCATGCTATAGTAACAGGCACAGAGACGCTATAGAAACAGGTACAGAGATATTATGGTGACAGGCACAGAGACGCTATAGAAACAAGCATAGGCACACTATAGTAACAAGCACAGAGATCCTATAGTATCAGGCACAGAGACGCTATGGTAACAGACAAAGTGAGAATGAAGGAGGTTGGAAAGTTTGGAGAGAAAAGAAAATAGAAATGGAGCAAACGCTTAAGAGAGGGAAAAAACAGACGTAAAAGGGCAGAAATAATGAAGATAGAAGGGGGAAAATTGAAAGAGGGTATTGCGGGGGCAGAAAAACAGAGGTTGAGCTGGCAGGTGTTTTATGTAAGTGAGAAAACAGAGACCGAGCCAGGCCTCTTTCCTTCTGCAGCAACAAATATGAGTCCAAATGATTTTCCACATCCACTTCATATTTTTACTGTTCAGAGGCCAGTTTCTGAACGTCTTAGATAAAAATATTTTAAAAACTTCTCTTCTCTTCTCTTCTCTTCTCTTCTCTTCTCCTTTCGTATCTTCTCCTCTCCTCTCCTCTCTTCTCTTCTCTCTGCAGGAGCTCTTTAAGAAGGTGGTGCCGTATCATTGTCTGGGCAGTATTTGGTCTCAGAGGGATAAGAAAGGGAAGGAACACCTGGCCCCCACCATCCGGGCCACCGTCGCCCAGTTTAACTGTGTGACCAACTGTGTGATAGCCACCTGTCTGAGTGACCGGACGCTTAAACCCACACAGAGAGCCAAAGTGCTGGAGCGGTGGATCGAGGTTGCCAGGGTGGGCAAAACTCAGCACAGTCAAAGGGATAGTTTGGTGAAAAATCCAATTTACATACTTTCCCCCTTGGCCCAAATGTAATAGCTCAGCCAAAACAAGCTTACTTTTACAATTCACACTGGAAACTGCCTAAAAATCACACGCTTGCCTTAAACCACTTTTTTATGTGCTTCCTGACACGGTATGAAAATCTAATTTTTAGGCCCAATCCCATTTCTTATTTTTACCCCTACCCCTGGTTTCGAGTGCCACCTTGCCCCTTGGGACTGAGTTACAAGGGGTAGTAGTTGAAATCTTCCCCTACTTTTATTTGACAACCCTCAAATAAAAAAGAGCATTACTTCATTAACAGCTACTAGCGCTGCTCTGTAGGCGACCCTGCCAGTCTGCAGTGATAGTAGAAGAGGGTAAAGTTCAGCTCCTCACTGCTGGGCTTTAGTTACATTTAGGGCATCATTTGCCTTCAAAGAGGGACAATTATTTATTATCACCCACCCCTAATTCTTCAGTGATATGAAGCTGACGTAAGCTATTCGCTAACACTTCGCCCTAACCCTCTATCTCAACAAAAATCGGGACACCCTACCCCTAGACAAAAATGCACAAAACGGAGCGGTAAGGGCTTAGTGGTAGGGGCAAGAGGTGAAATCGGGCCTTAGTATGGACAAAATTCAAGTTTTAGGATTCTGTTTTTAGCTATTTGATGTAATTTTGAGTATGTGATGATTCAGACATTCAGCTTGCAGTGTTGGGGTCAAAACTTCCATTGCTTGTTAGCCACATCAGCCTCGTAGCTCTAATGACAAACTAAAAAAGCAAACTTCAGACACCTTCAGCACGCTTGGCTGATTGACTACATGTAAAGAAAGGGGGAAAAATTGTGTAAACTTGATTTCTTGCCAAATTGTCCCTTTAAGGAAGTTTCTGAATTGTGTTTTTATTGATCTAATTGTCCTTTATTTCTTTGGCACTGGATAAAGATAAAACCTGATATCTTTATACTGGATTAAGTTAATGGACAAAGAAAGGTGATAAATGGTTAAGAAATGAAGTGAACGAAATTGACAGAATATTCATATTAATTTGCCGTAGTTGTAAAAAAGCCATAGTTGTAACATTAATCCCTGTTTGTGTGTGTGTGTGTGTGTGCGTGTGCAGGAATGCCGTATCCTGAAGAATTTCTCGTCTCTGCGGGCGATCCTCTCCGCGCTGCAGTGTAACCCCGTCCACCGCCTCCGGAGGACCTGGGACGAAGTCTCCAGAGAAAACTTCAGAATTTTCCACGAACTGTCTGAAATCTTCTCAGACGAGAACAATCACTCGCTCAGCAGAGAGCTGCTCATCAAGGTGAAGAACCAGAGTGTGTGTTAGAGACGGCACGATGACATGTTTTCTTTTCCGATACTAATACTGAAACCCTTAGTATCGACCAAGTACTGATACTGATCTGATCTTTGTTCTTCAAAATCTACTGAGCTTTAAAATAAGCTGTTTTTAACTGACGCACTTCACTCAAGGTGATCATCTAAAAGTGAGCTATGATGCTCAAACAGTCATAGACAAAGGTTTGGGCGCTCCTGGTCAAATGACACGTTTTGTTGATTTTGTTGTTTTGTTCTTAGTGAAAATAAGTTAACACGTCTTCTACAGTGAGCACACTTCTGCACTTACGCACTGCAGTTCAGTTCACAATTACTGTTTGCTGAATTTAACATATTTGGGACAAAAAACATTTTATATTTTATGTTTTCTTTTCAAATTTTTACTTTACATTTTGCCATGACCCCAACTGGCCATTGTTTGTTCAAAATATGCCAAAGCTACAGCAGCAAAATAGGCACTGAATACTTGAACTATTCAAAAATAATTTCAAATAAAAACAAATTGTTTTATATAAAACAATAGGCTACAATAGCTACAGATAACTGTTCAACCGCTTTAAAAGTCCCCTGGAGGTAGGTTTTTTGAAACTGCCTATTTACTTGAACTAGACACAAGGCAAACTGCTGGCCCAGAGATTGTTGCTGGAGAAATGGAGCATTGCATGCTGGGGACTGTAGTGCAGCTCAGGATGAAACGGGCTACTAAGCATAGAAAATTAAAATCATTTTGTGGGCTGAATAGGGTTGTGTCACAGGCCTGATTTGGCCCGCAGGCTTTGAGTTTGACACATGGGCTCTAGAGGATGTGTTCACTTATTTTCACTTAGAAAATCAATAAAACATAAAATATGACCAGGTGTATTCAAACCTTTACACACAATTTTATCTATCTATCTATCTATCTATCTATCTATCTATCTATCTATCTATCTGTCTGTCTGCTTGTCTATTTCTCTGTGAATGCATAGGTGGATGTATGTGTTGAGGGGATTTCAGTTTTTGGAAAAGAACATTCCACAAATTCCACCTCAGCAGTGAGGCAGGGGTGTGTGTGTGTGTGATGAAGTGTGAAGGAATCCCCTCTGACATCAGAGCTTGATACTGACGCCTCGTACCAGTGAGGGATATTCCTCCATTCAGCCTTCTACCTTACTCACATACATGTGTGATTTATTATCTCTACTGACTTACGCAGGAAGGAATGTCTAAGTGTGTGTGTGTGTGTGTCTACGTGTGTGTGTGTGTGTGTGTGTGTGTGTGATCTCTTAAAGATCTGTAAACTTTTTGCTGCCTTTTCCCGGCAATAGTGAATGTATGTAATAATTGCTGAGAGTTATAGAACCAGTAATAGCACTAGTTTCTAATGTAATGCACATAGTTTCATACACCGATCAGGCATAACATTATGACCACCTCCTTGTTTCTACGCTCATTGTCCATTTTATCAGCTCCACTTACTATATAGGTGCACTTTGTAGCAGCAGCACTGCTGTGTCTGATCCACTCACACCAGCACAACGCAAACTAACACACCACCATCACGTCAGTGTTACTGCAGTGCTGAGAATGATCCACCACCCAAATAGTACCTGCTCTATGAGGGTCCATGGGGGTCCTGACCACTGAAGAACAGAGTAAAAGGGGGCTAACAAAGTATGCAGTGAAACAGATGGACTACAGTCTGTAACTGTAGAACTACAAAGTGCACCTATATAGTAAGTGGAGCTGATAAAATGGACAATGAGCGTAGAAACAAGGGGGTGGTCAGAATGTTATGCCTGATTGGTGTATATTATAACTATATAGTCAAAACAGTGACTATAATAATGCAATTGAACATGTAAAATAATAGAAAAAAATTAGATTGTATTCAGTTGCCTTTGTATGGGTGTTGATTGATTAACAGACTCATGTGTGATAAACTCACTGTAACTTAATGTCGTAAAAGCCTCTTTGAGTTGAGCTGCAACCCTTTTAACTTAATTGTAGGCCTGTCAAAGTTAATACATTCATAACATGTTAGTGTGATCAGTTATCAAGTGCACAATTTGTCTGACGCTGTTGACTCATTTTCCTGTAGTAGTTCAGGCTGAAGCCCAGCTGCAGAGTCCATGCTTGTAGCCCTTTCGTTTAGCTTTTACATGACTTTTAAAGCTATATCTTCATCACTTTCAGCAGACTATGCTTGACAGTGCTTGTGAGAGAACTAGTGACAAACAAATAAGCAGCAAACTAGAAAAAGCAGCAGCGAAGTGGAAAACACCAGTTCCCCCCACAGTGTTCACTGTAATAAGAATCCAAGGCTGCAAGCGTGGAGGAGTTGAAACCATTGACTTTATATATGAAATATATCATATATACACTCATTGGTTGAAACGTGCAGCCACTGGACACTGGTGATAAAACTGGAAACTGTGTTCATTTTATTGAAATCACATGACTTTGATGTTCAGGTTCATGTAAACCCTGTATTCACATGATGAAAATGATGTTAATGAAATGTCCAGAGTAATAAATACATTATGATTCAGCTTGTTTGGTCCTTTTATACAGCTTTAACAAAATGAACTTACTTCAGTCTTACTTCACGGTCATATTTGAGCAAATAAGACCATTTCGATTAATTGAGATCTGTGTTTTCATTTTTCCAGGAGGGCACATCCAAATTTGCGACGCTGGAGATCAACCCCAAACGAGCACAGAAAAGACAGCAGCCACAGAGAGACCTGGTGAGACAGTCTGTAAAAACAGTCAGCACTGTTTACATGTAAACGTGCCTTAACCCCTTAAAATCCCACGCTTATTACATACTAAGGCTAAACTGGTTGAGCTATAGGTTATAGAAGTGTGTAATAAAACTTTGGGGCTCTGGCCTTTTAAGGGGTTAAAGAAGCTGTACGATTGTTTTTTTAACTGGTTTGATAGTAGTAATTAAACATTTTTAATGTTTCAGAATGCATTGTTTACTTCTTAGAGCACACAGTCCATATAAGAAGACTAAACTTCGCCTTTTTTTGGCCAAACAACCAAGTATGCATTTACATACGACCACCCATTCAACCTACAACAGTTTAGCTCTGCCCTTGTTAAAGTGATGTGGAGTGTTGTTGCTGCAGTGTGTAGCAGAGTTACTGGAGACAAGTTCCAATTTAATGTAAATCAATATAAATTAAATGTCACTTTGCATTCTTCTTACTGAAACTTTACTGAACTTTCCTGTAACATTTATTAACAGCAAGAAAAAGGTCAGAAATGAAAGAATTTCTTTACTTAATAAATGAATTCACTTACACTACAAAAAGTGTAATTCAGAATTTTTTAGTAACCCCCCCAAATATCCAAATTCCATACATTTATATCTGAAAAATTATGTCTCAATTCTGCAATTGGGTCATTCTACAGAAACGTCCGTTTTTGTGTCTCTAGCATTTACAGATATATTACACTTAAAAAACATGTTAGGGTTACAATTTAGTTATATTTAAAATAAAACAATAAATTATTTTAACAATTATACCTTCTTGAGCCTCAATTCAGCAAAATTGTTTTTTAAACCAATTATCTAGAACTCCAAGCACCACAGAAGTGTTTGTCCCCACAGTCATGTTACAGGGTGAGGCCATATTTTGAGGTAAAAACCATGTTTTTCTACAATAATCTATACATGATATACACTATGAAAATATATAAATTAAATGATGTAAAGAAAACAAATGCCAAATAAATATAAAATACATAATGAAAGTTGTGGTCAATTTAGCAAAATTGGTTTTCAAATCAATCATATAGAATTCAAAGCACCACAGAGGAGCTCGTCCCCACAGCCATGTGTAAAGAGTGAGGCCATATTTTGACATAAAAAAAATATTTTCTGCAATTTTAACTGCAATAATCTATACATGGCTATGAAATATATGATTTAAATGACATAAAGAAAACAAATGCCAAATAAATATTATAAAATATATAATGAAAGCTGTTGTCCCCAGGAGTCGTGTCACTGGTGTTACTGCGTGACAAAGAATCTCTTATTTTGAAATAAAAGTCACACAGATGACATCACTTGACTTCCTTTTACCTGTTTTCTGAGGATCTATGAAAAAGCACATGGTGAGTCCACTGTGTCTTTCAGTTATCAGAGATTTTCTCATTTAGCTCATGATTTCACATGAAGCTTTTAGCTGAAGTCACTGGTGTCACCGACTTTATTCTGAGGTAATTTTGAAAATTTTAGTGGACATTCCATGATTGACAACATGTGGTTTGATGCTCTGTAGCAGCCATTTGGTAAAATGCATTTTTCATTAAAAATGTCTCTGGTGTTACCTTTCTTATGTGTTACACCAATGATGATTGGTAACACCAGTGACACCTATGGAGAGATAGAAAAGTGGACATTTCTGTAGAATGACCCAATTATGTCTCTGTCTCTGCATCCTGGTAATCGCAGGGGCCTACAAACTGCCCACCACCAGTCTGTACAAAGACAGACCAAGGCCCCTGAAATATTTTCCTGTATGGCTCCTTTTTTCACCTCTAGCCAAAGATGTAGACTGAGATTTTACTCAGTATGATTTCAGTGATACTGTTCGACCAAACAGTGACCGAAAGGGAAAAAACTGTTAAAGAGAGGGAGAGAGAGAGAGAGGAGAGAGAGAGAGAGAGAGAGAGAGAAGTTTGCGTAAACATCTCCAGACTCACGCTGAAGATTAGAGTGAAGAGACTCAAGTCTTCAGCTGTACTGGGAAAACTTCCAAAAGGCATGAATCTGCCAGCTCTCAGTGAATGGCTCTGGAAAGAAATCCATTCAGTGTCATTGAGCTCCCTCTAGTGGAAATATGAAGACAAACATGCTACAGAAACATCAGTACACCTGTACTACCTTGTACCTCCACTCCATGACCACTTTATCAGAAACACCTGCCTTCAGTCCACTGTATCTGTGGACTTTTACAGACTGTAGTCGGTCTGTTGCTGCACAGTTTAGCAGCCCGTCTTTATCATATTCATCACTGGCTGTTTTGTGGTGTTGCAGAGTGTGATGCAGGGTACCATCCCGTACTTGGGCACATTCCTCACTGACCTGGTGATGATGGACACTGCCATGAAGGACTACTTGGATGTGAGTCT